TCGAAACACCTGGGCATTGCATCCAGCCTCTAAGCATGGCAACACCTGGTGTAGCCATGCTTAGAGGTTGGAAAAGGGGGAGGGCGGAGGTAGAGGCCAATTCATTATTGAAGCAGGATCGGGATGGCTATTTTAATGTGTTACCAGTTTATTTGATTTTTGGTGAGGTTATTGTGATCAGGGTAACGACAGGCGGTTATGCTGGCTGGCGCATGTACACAGCATGACACATATTATATTGAACATGATGCACGGTGAATATTGCAATTTATGGTATCACATGGCTGTGTATCAACATGACCCATTCAGCTTGTGGAGAGGCTCGTGGGTTCGCTTCTCTATCATATAAGTCAATATTGGTTCACAGCTGATCCATGGCAGTACTTAAGATGGGGAGGCGGTATTGTGTCCTTAATGTAGAACTTGTCTTCTCTTCTTGTCCATTATGTCACTGTAGCCCGTGCTACATGGACATTTCGTTCAGTGTAGCTAAATCTAAACAACAACCCATGTTGTCATTTCTGGGGGGCGAAGTAGTCACCGTAGATTCTTGTTCCTATACCCGAGGCAACGGTATACAGGTGATAGAGGAAGTTATACAGTAGGGAAGATGTGAGGCGGCGTCTGTTGTTGTTGTATATGAACGAGCCGTGACTCTACCCCCCTTCCTCCTCGTCACTGTCTGGCTGAGGACACAGTTCCTCCCCCCTCCTCTCTCCCACCCTCTCACAATACGGTCTGCTGCTTTTCCAGTTCCCAGTCGCGCTTCCATCGTCTTCCTCACAAGGGGGAGGGGAGAGGGAAGGGAATAGAATTATCAGGGGAAAGTGCCAAGCCATTACGACTATATAGCACTAGGAAGAGGTCAAGCTGTGCACGGGAGACATCTCCCGTCACACAGGGTGCAGTCGCACCTCCACAGATCTCCAGTATCATCTATTGATACTGGTGATGGCTCAAAAGGGCCACCACTTAAGGGCTATTCATGCCCGTGCTTCATCTTCATCTTAACACATTCACAAGGGAGACATCTCCCGTCACGCAGGGTGCATTCCCACCTCCACTGATCTGTATCAGCTCTTGATACTGGTAATGGCTCAAAAGGGCCACCACTTACGAGCTATTCATGCCCGTGCCACCTCTTGGGTGGCTTAATCTTTATCAATCAATCAAGCTGTGGATTCGGGTTGGGACGGGGGGAAAGGAATGGTGCCCAACCACTTGGACGGTCGGGGATTGAACGCCGACCTGCATGAAGCTAGACTGTCGCTCTACCGTCCAGCCCAAATGGTTGGGCGGGTCATACAGACATTTAGCCGCCTGAGAGTCTGGACTCCAAACAGTGTTGCCGAGTCAGATGGGTGGCATCCGTCACTACTCATGAATGTAGTATTTGATAAATGTAGTTATCTTGTCTTATCAAAGACACTTCTGAGCTCGCCTATGCTGTGGAGTATATTACATATTCTCAAACGAATTCTAAGAGTGTTGATTTTGCATGTCAACGCTGGTTTGTTTACATTATTTGTCAGGCGTGTGTGGAGAGAACACCCGCAGCGTGTTTATCAGTGTGTCCTCACACTTAACGCACACCAACTTTGATGCTGTGGACCACATTTTAATTACAATTAAAAACAGCTTAATATTGATGTTGACTTGACTGTTGAACATCGGCTTTGATACTTTAGGCGAGTTGCTTAAGTCCTTACGCTTCTACTTTGGTAAGAACCCATCGTATCTGTCGCTTGTTAATGGTGAGGAGGCCCTCTCACCGGCCCTCTCACTGGCCCTCTCACTGGCCCTCTCACTGACCTTCCCGGCGTCCCTCTCACCAGCCTTTCTGGCGGGCCTCTCACCGGCCTTCCCGGGGGCCCTCTCACCGACCTTCCCGGGGGCCCTCTCACCGACCTTCCCGGGGGCCCTCTCACAGACCTTCCTGGGGGCCCTCTCGCCGACCTTCCCGGGGGCCCTCTCACCGACCTTCCCGGGGGCCCTCTCACCGACCTTCCCGGGGGCCCTCTCACCGACCTTCCCGGGGGCCCTCTCACCGACCTTCCCGGGGGCCCCTCTCACCGACCTTCCCGGGGGCCCCTCTCACCGACCTTCCCGGGGGCCCTCTCACCGACCTTCCCGGGGGCCCCTCTCACCGACCTTCCCTGGGGCCCTCTCACCGACCTTCCCGGGGGCCCTCTCACCGACCTTCCCGGGGGCCCTCTCACCGACCTTCCCGGGGGCCCTCTCACCGACCTTCCCGGGGGCCCTCTCACCGACCTTCCCGGGGGCCCTCTCACCGACCTTCCCTGGGGCCCTCTCACCGACCTTCCCGGGGGCCCTCTCACCGACCTTCCCGACAGCCCTCTCACCGACCTTCCCGGCGGCCCTCTGCCTAAAGCTAAAATATCTTGAAACCTTGCAAAATGAAGCTATACTTCTCATCCTTGGGGCTCCAAAGTCCACGAGAATAGTTAATATGAGAGCAGAGCTAAAATTACCTACCATAAGGGAGAGAATTTTGTCTATTAGCACAGTTTTCGGCATGAAGGCATAGAGTAGATCTCGGCAACACATGCAGTTTCTAGCTAAACTTTCTAATATGCTACACTCACCTGAAGTCTATAGAAGAAGAGCGAAATCTGATTATGCATTTTGGTTCTGCAAGGTAGCCAACTTCATCAAAATATTAAATATGTACCCAACTCAATTAATGATTAATCAAACAATTACTCCATGGGATAACTGGGAACTATCAGTTGACTTTGTAAATGCACCCAAGAAAGATAGTGTACACTCAACATTATTAAAACAGTTAACACTGAAAAGCATCGCTGAGAATACTCAGGGTATGGGTAACGATGTGTATCAGTGCTATACCGACGGTTCTGTAGAAGAAGGTGGACGATGTACCGGATGCACATGTAATATATTTGAACAATCTTCTCTCGTACATACAGCAGTGAAGAGCGTCAATGATTGGGCAAGTACAGTTCAAACCATTAGTCCCAAGAGACTAATAGAGCAAGAACTCGGCAATGTGATGTTATAATGGCCAGAATACGCCTGGGATATAGACGTATATGGCAGCTTTCTCAAAACCCAAATGTCGAGTACACAATGTGTCAACTTTGTGAAAGAGAAAACATGCACTCTCTTGAACATTATATTGTAGAATGTCCCATATTGACTGACTTTCGTCCTCCTGGGCTAAGGTATGCTGAACTGTGTAATTACTATATGAGTACTGGAACACTTGATGATATATTGGACTTGTACCCAAGATTAACCATGTAATGTATCAATTATACAATGTATGTATGTGATGTGACTATATATAATCTGAGGTTGTAAAGGCATCTTAATCACCTTCAGTGGTAAAGTGCTTAATTACACACTAGTCATCCTGTCAGAGTAGGAGAGACAAATGTATGTACTGTATATATGTGTGTGTATGTGTGTGAATTTTCGTGCTTTACACATATGTATATATATATATATGTGTGTGCATGTATATGTATGTATGTGTATAAAGTATGTGGAAGCTGATCAGAATTACATTTTACCTTTGTAAATGCACATTAATGACACTATATAAAAGACACATCGAACACTTTATGTAGGGCAGACATAAATCTCTGAATCTATGTATTTACATATGTAGGTTAGCTTAGCATTTTAAAAGCACTACAATCAACTTCTGTGGTTGATTGTTCAATAAATCCCTGAACTATATGTTTAACAGATCTCTAAGCCTGACCATGGAGGACAGAAGAAAATGTATATATGCTGGTTAGCATTGTAAATGTGTGGCCATGTCTGTGGAAGAAAATAATAATAAAAAAACTTGATAGTTCTTCTATCAAGAAGAACGGTCATTCTTCTTGATTGTTTGTGCCGTGTGAATGTTTCTACTGCCTCTGTTTGTTCAAGCATCTGTTTGTGTTTGTTTGTTCACGGCACTGATATAGAGTCAGGTTACTCAGAATAACTTCCCAGTTTATTACAGTATGTTCATGTTTATTTGACCTCCATTATGATGTCCAAAGCAAGGAGCGCTATTTATGGCAAGTTAAGTCGAGGCTGCTGCTTCATTTAGCTTGCTAGTGGTGTGTGTCTTGGAACTAACTCATGTCTCTCATTAAATTTACAATACCTGGACTCTCTCCCTTGTTTACACTAGGCTTACACTAGGTTTACACTAGGCCTAGGTGCCTAGCGTAAACCATAGCGTGTAATAGTGTTAACGATTTTATTTTTTTTTTTACTTAAAACTAACTTAGAAATTTCATCTAACCTAACTACTATAACGAAGTCAGTAATTCATGTTCTTAATATAATAATATTAATTGGAATAAACCAGTTTGGAAAGAAATATTTGAAAATAACAAAAATAATACTTATTTTTCTGAAAATGTGTATATTTTAGTTTGGAAAAATTAATGCTGTTGATAAGTAGTAGTATGATGATATTGGGTTGTGTTAGATGTTTGAATGCCTGTGAAATGTGCGAGTATATTTTTGTATTAATGTTTGAAACATTTTGGATGCATTTTTATTTGTCTGTGCTTTTTATGTTTTTATTAATTGAGCATCTGAGTAACCCAAGGTTACATTTTGTTGACTTGGGTAATGTTTTATCAGCATAGAGTTGAGCAGTAAAGTTTCTTTTTTTGTTACTGTATCATAATAGGGCAATATGAGAGATACTGTATACAGTTTTGCATTTACTAATGTGTTCTTTATTTTCTCTGAATAACATTGGTTTTGATGTTGCATTGTTTTGCTTTATAAAGGATGAGATTCAAGCCTATTACTGTATTAATATCAGATTTTTCTCATCATTTAAGCAATCGGTAAAAGTAAAATTTTTGAATTACAGATGTTGCATATTTTAATCAAAACAAGGTAGGAAATTTACAAAGGTTTACATTTTTAACAACTAGCTTATTTATATCGCTATGTATGTGAACTCTTGTTATTGCTAATGATGCAATTTCTTTTCCCAGAACACGACGATGCCAATATGTTGTGAGTGCTTGGGGACGGAGAAGAGTGTTAATGGAGGGTTTGTGCACTGCGGGTCCTGTGGGTCCTCAGTTCACCCAAAATGTTTACGTTTGGATCCTTCTGCATCTGTAAGATTACATAAACAAGGCTGGCAGTGTGAAGACTGTAAACCGTGCATAGTGTGCCGGAAAACAGGGTCCGAGGTGAGTTAGCCCAACATTTTTTAATAATTTTATATTAATATAATATTTATGAAGGAAATGACTATTCTAACAGTATTACATGGTAAACTTGGGTTTAATCCAAATATTTAAGCTCATGAACTTGATGTCAGTAAAGACTCAAACTTTACTAATTTTGGAGGAAACACAAGCTATAAGAAACAATATTAAAAAATAATTCAACTGAAAGTTAGAATACAGGACAGTATATTGTGATAATTTAAATAATAGCATTAATATGCCATGACTGAATGACTTAATTTTAATCTGATATCTACTAAACAATGCCTTTGAAAATTAGTTAAAATCAATCACTGAGGTGCAAATTGCACTCTTTCCTTGAGAAGATTAGTAGAAGCCATTATGAGGATTTGAACCTGCACACTGGGTACTCCCAAGCATGGGCCTTAAACAACTTGGCCACAACATGCTCAAAAACAATGCAACATGGGATTTGATTCCTTGTTTATTTACTAGATATTTATTTTATTTATTTATTTATATATATACAAGTACATTGGGTTTGTGAGAGTGCATATCAATGGTACTCTTACATTCTTCTTACATTTTTTTTAAAGAATTCTTACATTCTTGCAAATCCACTCTCACACACACACACACACACACACACACACACACACACACACACACACACACACACACACAGTATTTCGGTCTCATCATGGCTTCTGATTTTCTCATTGGTATATCATGCTAATGTGATTTCTTTGTGCAATCTTTCTTTGCTAATTTCAAAAGTTATAATTGTACTTTTTTGTATACTGTATTTTGATATTGCCCTACTTTTTTTTTTTTTTTTTTTTTACTCACAATGCCCTTTTTTACATTATCTGTTAGGGCAAATAATAATTTAGTGTTACTGTAACTAAATGTCTCCAGCTCCACAGTCAATACAGTATACCAAAGACAAAAGGGTGTTAATGCCACAAAATCCAAATGAAAGAAGAAGAGTTAATGTTTGTAAAAAAAAATGTAGTACCTGTAATACAGATAATCAACAAATAGGGTACATATCAGGCAGCAAAGATACATTATCATTTTAATAAGAAAGTCATATCCTGTTCAATAGAACGGAGCGTCTCTCTTACTTTTGGTGGATAGATAAATTTTGACTGCACTGTAATAATCCCCAAAATAATCTCCAAAAATAATCCCCAAAAAAACTAACTAAAATAAATAATCCCCAAAAATACTAACTTAAAAATACATTTTATTCATAATACTACACACATTTTGTACTCCAGTATGTACAAGTATATCTTACCTTTATTGAAGACTCTTATTGGCATGTGGAAGACAGTGAGGAGGGGGGGAAGGAGGAGACGTGTTAGTGTATGGAAGGGGAGTCCCCTTCCATTATAACATCAGGCAGTGATGACATTTCTGGGGTACTCTCTCTCCTACGTTGTGCAGGCATACCACTAGGCTCTAGTTGTGGCTCACAGCTTGCTTGTCTTACTAAGAATCTGTTTAAAGACACTTGTTTTCCCCCCTTCCAAACACTAAAAACCTTTCCTCTCCCCCCCTCTTCACTATCTTCTATACACCAACAAGTATCCTCAATAAAGGTAAGGTATAGTAAAAAATATGAGTGATATTTTGTATAAAATGTATTTTTAAGTTAATATTTTTGTGTGTGGGAATATATTAATTCAATTTACATTATTTCTTAGTGTGGAAATTTTGTTTCGGTTTACGAATTTTAGGCGTACGAACTGTCTCTTAGAACCGATTAAATTTGTAAACCAAGGTGCCACTGTATTCATTGTTTTCCACATGTTAGGCATAATTGATTAATTTTTAAATAAATTCTCAACGTCATACAAGTTGTAGTAAAAATTTATTTCAAAATAGAAATGCAGTACCAGCTCTGTATTTTGAGAGTTCAGTAATGAACATATTTTCGTTTTTTGTTTCAGGTACTGGGCAGCCTTATATTATGCAGCTCATGTGATGATGGTTATCACATGAGCTGTGTTTCACCTCCCTTAGAGCAACGACCAACTACGCCGAGCTGGTGTTGCTCTAATTGTACCAAAGGGCCGCAAGGCACCAATAATAATAACCGTAGTAATCCGGCCTCCCCCACGGGTAGTGTACATGGTGAGGGAGGCACGTCTAATAATAATTCTGCCGCCAATAGAAAAGGACGAGGGAGATCACGAAAAGGCCTTCAAGATGCAACGGCGAGAAGTAGAAAATATAGCACCTCCTCTTCTAGTTCGCGGTCAAGGTATGTAAATTAAAGTGTTATATAAATGGGTTACTGTATTGTAGACTAGTGAAGATATTTTAGTAAATTTGAGGATTGGAGGGGAAGAGGAAAGCTGGGAAAAGTGTGTGCAGACATGGTGGGTGAGTGTGAGGCGGTAGGTATCGAGTGTGAATAATGCTTGGGACTGTAAGGAGGGAAGAAAATCTTTGTATAAACTATACTACATATTACAACTTGCAAATAGCATTGTGTAGTTAGTCTTATAACACAGCTGGGAGCAGCTGTTGATGAGTTCTGGTGTGATGTGGCTTGTGAATTTCTGATGCAATATATAATAATTCCTTTTAATAATAAGTAAGAATAGTATGACAGCAAATTGTACATTAAAATACATTAATGGACATGTGCAGTGGGAAGGTGAGGGATGGGGGAAGATTGGCAAAGTCAGTTTCTGAGCAAAACTTTGTGAATGCATCAGATGATCACTGACAATAATTTTTTTTTTTATTTTTCAGTTTTTTGATTCAATTATATGTTCCAAAGAAAATATTTGTTTAATACAGGTATTTTATTCTGTTTTGTGCAGCTGAAGGGTGATGTATGTAAATATAGCCACATGCAAAGGGCTAGGGTGTTTGATGACATTTCTTAGGCAGGAAAATTAATAGTTTAAATTGAGTTATGATAGTGTGGTGCTTTAAAGTGTACCATTATTGTTTTACTATTCAGGAATGACAGCCATAAAATTTAGCAGAGAAATCTATTTTCTACTCTAACATCACTCAATTTTTATGACTAGAAATATTATAAAGAATTAACTGCTGCAGAGGTGTTTTAGAATTTTTTAATTCGGTAGAAAAAAATTTCATTCATGTTTTGCTTTTAATTCCAGATCAGCATCACGATGGCGGAAGAGGAGCGAAAGTGACCAGCGCAAGGAGCCAGGCAGTGACTCAGATGACAGTGAGGGTATGCATAGCCAGCTTGGCCCCCCCAAGAAACTTCCTAGTGACAAATTATCCAAAGAAAAGGCTAAGTTTTTCAAAAGAAGTTTTGGGGAAAAGGGCAAATTTAGAGCAGCTAAGAGTGAAATACGGGTGGAATCTCATGGTAATGCGGGTATCAGTGTATCTAGGGCAACAAGGGACAGTGCCTCTGGGCACAGAAAGCGTGCAGAGCCAGGTAGTGAGCTCAGCTCCAGTGGGCCTGATTCTACTACAGATACTAGTAGTAGTGATGAATCTGGTGCTGATGTGCCTGAAGTTAACTCAAGAACTGCTGGACATGATGGTGAAGAATGCCCATCTTTACCTTGTAGTCAGGGAAGTAATAGTACTAGTACAGGAAGCAAAGTTCCTGTCAGAAAATCTGAATCATTAAGTGAGGGTGAGGTAGACTCGGGGAGTGGCACCCCCCATGAGGAGCGAAGTTCCTCATCCACTAACTCCTCGAGTGCCATGTTGGCATCAGGACACCTCAGGGGTTTGTTTGATGGTCTTAGTCACTTGTATACACCATATGACTCTCGGAAGAGACCGCTACAGGAAAGACCAAAATATAAAGGACCAAAGAAAATACTCAAGTTATCAAGAGATGGGGAAACTTCTCTGTGTGATACTGGTGTCGAGGGTGGGACAAGAGTGAATAACGGTAGTGAGGGTTCACGACGTAGCGGTGAGTGTAGTGGTGCGGGAAGTAAAGGGGGTGAAAATGGGGGGGCATGGTCAACATGGGCGGCTCATAGGTGGTCCAGCACCAGCATTGGGGCTAGCTCAGCTGGCCCCAGTGCTGTCCCATCAGCATTGGCAGGGGCCACCCCTCTGGCAGCCAACGTGAGTGGTGGCGGCAGCCAGGCTCAGGCAACGGATGGACGCAAGTGGCGCAAGATGAGGCCCGAGGGCTACAGCAGCCACACTGGGGGTCAGGGTAAGGCACTCTGTGGACCGTGATGCTGTGCTGCCACCTTCCCGCATCACACTCTCACCCTCATAATGCTTTTGCTTCTCAGCTGCTGCTGCTACTGCTGCTAGTGTAGCATCTTGTGCAGACTCATATGCTTGTGCATGGCTAGCTTTTTCTCCTGACAATTTTCTAACTCCAGTTCCTCACCCTTTCTTATGCTTTTTATAATTGTTTTCAGTTTTTCACCTACTCTACTTGCTTATGTTTGCTGTATGTATAATGTTGCAACTGTATTGCTAAAGAGATTGTTGCCTCATGGTTGAATACTGCCACCTCCTCCCTCTCCCCCCACCTTGTATTTTATCAACTGGAAAAAGACAAGAAGATAACAGTTTAGATATGTCTAACTCTCATATGTAAAATTAGATAATAAATTTTTAACTTAAAATTAGATAATAAATTTTTTTACTTACTAGTAAAAATACCTTGTGCGTCTCGAGGTTTATGTAATTTTTCATACCATAAAGTTTGACTTGATCAATTCATAAATTTTTCAAATGGAAAGGAAACGGCGTTGTACCAGGAATTTCGAACACTACCTCTAGATTTCAACTAAAAGGCTCAACCTCGGCCATTGCTTGATTGCTTTTATGCATGAGTAAGACCCAGATGTGCACGAGAGATAAATGTTAACAAGTAGCATGTGACATCAGAAACCGCATGATAGAAATATATACTGAGGTATGAGGGAGTAGTATATCACGTGTTCTTTTTCTTCATGTCAATCTGTATTTTATATAAGTTTTATTTTGTTTTAAAGCTTTTGATTTTCCTCTCCTCTGGTTGTAGTGTTTTGTTATTGGCAGTTATCTTCAACGGTTACCACGAGAGTTGCCCCGGCTTAGCTTTCCGATTGGCAAATTTATAGGGGAGATGTGGCGGGAAATAGCACTCAAAAGACAACATCAGACGGGGGATGGCAAACTGGAAGCTCTTGTCCCCGCTCTTAACTGGAAAGGAACTTCTCGATTTGGAAATCCGGACCATCTGACACCACCAGAATAAAATATAACAAGGTCTCTTAACCCTCAAAATTTGGGATCAAGGTTTGCGATCCACCTGTACATAACCGGGTAGCTTCTCATCCCCCTGAACTTTGTCCACCATAGTGGGGCTAGAGGTGGTGTGCTTCCCTTAGTTACTGGGACGAGGCTGCTGTGGGGTCTGTGACTCACATAATTATGGTTGTTACATGTTTAAGGTCTTATATACTGATTTATTTGTGTTCTAGACATTACTAATGCCTAAACACCTTATTTTCTAATCTATAAATTGCCTAGTAATAATAGTTGGTATACTAAAGTAAATTAATTTATGCTTCTTAAAGATATTTTAATCAATAACAATGAAATTCACCATCTGCTTAATCAATAGTACTCGATGATAAATACTGTAATTTATATTGCTAGTTTACAGAGATGTTATGATAAGCATTAATATATTTATTTTATGTTAAATTTGTGATGATATGGTAAGAGAATTAACTTGGTAGATGCAGAGGTGAATGCTGAAGTGTTGCTCTCCCCGCCAACAGTGGAGAACAAGGTTATTGTGGAGAAGATTCAACGCAATTCTTTACCACCTGGTGTCACCGAGAGAGATTTAGATATGTTTAAAAAAGCTCAGGAAAGAGCTGCGCAGGTTAGTATAATGAACATTTTACTTTCTGAATTTGGTAACTCATTAAGGAGTTACCAAATTACTTGACCAGTTACTTTTGACAAATATCCAAGCACTTGAAAAATGTCTTAGAATAGAGTGTACATAGTTGTTAGGAAATAACTAGCTTCATGCTGTATTATTAATAAGTTGAAAAATTTTAGTGTTTGTATTTATCATCGTTTGTGCTTCATCTCGGCGGCAATATGAAGTTTTCTGGTGGTCCTTCCATTATTTCTTGTCAATTCCCTGGTTTATATCGGTCTCTGCTCGGGGGGTCTTGTCCTTTCTCTCGTGGTTGTTTCAGGACCACCATCTTATGCCAAATATTGTCGTCTCGTATCGTACGGCACTGGGGGAGCCTCTGCAGCTTGCATTCGGCATTGATGTTACTTCGGCACTGTTTTGCAAGCTGTCTCGGGCATTGTTTCACCTCCGGCCTACTCATGCGTCGCCTGAGCCATCCTGGTCCTTGGATTGGGTGCTCTAATTTCTCTTTTCTCCTCGGTTTGTGGTGCCCCCTTCGGTTCAGGATTGTTTCTCCAAGGCTCTTTTTCTTGTTGGCATTTGCCTCTGGGGGTCGGGTTGGGGAGCAACCGGCACAGGGGTTTCTGCTCTTTCGGTCCTGGTGGTAAGTTTGTTCGTTCGTTTGCAGCCGTCTCCTTTTCTGGCAAAGAATGAGACTGCTGCTTTCCGGAGGGCATCATGTGTTGTGTCCGGTCGTGGCTCTCCATCATTACCTGCGTGCCACGGCCTTCGTGGCTGGGGACACGCTTTGGGTAGATCCGGTTTCCCACCTTCCCTGTTCTTCTCATTTTTGTCATTGGGTAAGTAGTCCAGGGAGCCGAAGGGGCACATCCCAGAAAACCAGCGTTGAATGTAATGAAACACCATTTTCTGGGTGAGACCCAGAGGCTCCCCAGCATACCTCCCTCCCTCCCGGTCAGTGTTTTTTTGCGGTTTTGACATGCAGCCTCAGAACTGCAGGGTGGATAGGAGGCGCAGGGGTCTAGGGCTTCCCCTCCCAGGTAAGGGGGGGGTTGCGCAGACAGTGGGTCGGCAACATAGTGACGTCATGCTCATTTGCTCGCTTTCATTTAGGGAGTTCTGTCCAGTAGTTCGGCTTTCAGTAGCAATACAGTATATTAACCAGAAGAGGGGTTTGTTTTGGGGCGCTTACCTTTCTAGGTGCCTGACCCGATCGATGGCAGACATAGAATACTTCCAACCACACAGGGGGGGTTTCAATAGGCCATTGCTCCCCATGTTACTCTGAGGGGAGCCAGGTTCTGGCTCATGGTCCTGGTAGATCTAAGAACAACATTCGGTTTGATCGATACCAGCGTCTAATACATTCATACCAGCCCGGATAGCTCCAGGGAGCCTCTAGGTCTGGTGAAACCAGGCCATATATATATATATATATATATATATATATATATATATATATATATATATATATATATATATATATATATATATATATATATATATATATATATATATATATATATATATATATATATATATATATATATATATATATATAATATATATATATATATATATATATATATATATATATATATATATATATATATATATATATATATATATATATATATATATATATATATATATATATATATATATATATCTATATATATATATATATATATATATATATTATATACTATATATATATCAATATATATATATATATATATATATATATATATATATATATATATACATATATATATATATATATATATATATATATATATTAATATATATATATATATATATATATATATATATATATATCAGATATATATACATATATTTATCCAACAGTATATATATATATATATATATATATATATATATATATATATATATATATATATACATACATACATACATATATATATACATACATATATATATATACATACATACATACACACACACACACACACATATATTCAGAGTATATATATTCATATATATATTCAATGGTAGCAGCAATCATATATTTATATTCAGAGTAACCCAAAGAAGAAAGATGCACATACACCGTGCATCATGTACGGTGAAACCAGGCCAGCCTGGGACGGTGGGGTCCGTTCTTTTGTTGGGCTAACAGCACGGTGCAGGAGTTCGCGACTTTGTGGATGTCGCTCCGGAGGATTTATGTCGCTCGCGGATCGACGATGTGGCTCTTATCAGACTGCTCCCCAGTGGTTCATTGCCTGTACTGCGGGAGCTCGATGCGGTCACCGGGAGGCCTAAAACTTCATTCACAAATTGTAAATTGTAAGAGTGCTCTCTCTACATGATTAGTCTCAGATTGAAAGTACTTCCCACTCTTACTGGCAGAGTTGAGAGAGTTATCGGCATCAGTATAGATTATTTGTTTCATATTTTTTTTCAGATTCATGTACTTGAGCAGTGATTTTAGCAGCAAGTCTAAGATGATTAGCCATTATTTTATAAGTTTCTTGATAGGGAAAACAGGTCACAGGAGGCCTCCTGAGTGGCAGGAGGTCTGCTGTTTTCTGACTTTCCTAATGTTATACAGCTAGTATAATCCTGATGAAATTTAGCAATTTTAATGTGTTGTTACCTAAATCTATTGAGATTCACTTGTCCCATTTTGTCTGTTCTAGTACAGTAATTCTGCAGAAGCAACATCATTGTTCTACAACTCACACAAGTCCTATCATAAGATTAAAAGTTGATGGATAGAATGGACGCAATTATTTGTTCCTTAATAAACATTCAATGATTTTGTTTGGGTACAGGAAATGGAGAAGAACCGGACAACAGTACAAGAACGAGACCCCTTTAACATGTCCCGGTGTCCAGCGAGTATAGATTTTGGCCAGTATGATATCCAGACTTGGTACTCGGCACCATACCCCCAAGAATATGCACGGTGAGATTATACCTAGAGAAATTTTTATTTATACTTTTTTTGTCATATATGTTCAAGCTTGTTATAATTTTGTCTTGCATTCTGATCATAAATATTTAGACTCTTAATTAAGTCATATACTGTTGTGAATGTTTTAAAAACATGTTATTTTAATCCTTAAAATGTAGCTATGGATATTCAAGCATGTCAGCCCATGAGCAAAATGTATATAAAAATTACAAAAAAAATTTTCTTACGGAATGATTAGATTGGATGCAACACGTTAGAAAAATAAAAATTACATATAAAGTGGTTAGGCAAAGTCTAGAAAGTTGGTGGGCTGACGCACCCAGCCGGTGGATCTGTCAGTGCCAGACCTTGCGACTTGCTGACACACCGGCATGTGCCAGTACTAGCCTTGGATGTTTTTGCAGTTGTTTCTTCATATTTTAGTTTATTCACTTTAATGTTTGTTGTTAGTTTAGTCATCTATTATGCACCCTGTAACCCATCCAGTGGGCGGTGGTGGATAGGGTTTGAGGCACATAATGGGTTCATGAATTCAGCAAATAACAATTTTGTGAAGCTAATTACAAATGTCGAATAACTATATTGATGTACATGTAATTTTCAAAAGTATAAATTGAGTACATAGATAACTATAAGGATAATGTACAGTATTTAGTTGTATATTCATATGTATCAATGAATATACTGTATATGAATGTATGGCACGTTCGTCGTCTGCCTTGATGAAGCTGTTTGCGCTGATCCTGCAGGATGCGGTGTCACTGTTTTATGCATCCCAGCTCGCGTGTTGGCAGGCGGTGCTGGCTTCCTCCTTGGAATCTTCTTGGGCCCTGGCTCTTAGAATATCTTCACCTTTTTTGTCCCTTGCTTTTCTGCATGCTCGGTGTCCAAACCCAGAGGTTTTCCCGCGGCTCCGCCTCTTTCAGCAGATCTACCTGGTCCGTCACGTGGCTGGTTCAATCTTCTCCTTGAGTTTTCGCGTTTAGTCCTTTTGATTCAGGTCTATCACCATCTGTATGGTGATGAGATGGTGTCCCACCTGTGGGCTTCGTCTCTGCGACAGTGTTGTTGTTGTTGTTGTTGTTTGGAGCTGCGCAGACAGCGGCACGGAGACTGTGACGTCATGCTCGTTTTTGTTTTGGGAGTTCTGTCCACTAGTTCGGCTCTCAGTGGCAATTTCTTAACCAGAATAGAGGTTTGTTTTGGGATGCTTACCTCTCTGGGTGCCTGACCCGGTCGATGGCAAACATAGAATGCTTCCAACCACATGGGGATTTCTATAAGCCATTGCTCCTCGTGCCTCTCTGAGGGGGGCCAGGTTCTGGTTTGTGGTCCCCAGTAGGCCTAAGAACTCCATTCACACTGAGTGATGCCAAAGTCTAATATTAGCATATCAGCCTGGATAGCTCCAGGGAGCCTCTGGGTCTCACCCAGAAAATGACATTTCATTACATTCAACGCTGGTTTTTTATGCACGACAATTGCCACATTAGCATAGTAACATTTGCGACAATAACCGCATTTACATAGTAAGCAATCATAAAATGATGGCAAGAATTTTGTCAAGGGATTAGGTAAAAACTATATACATTCTAACATCATAGGGAGCCGGTCGGCCGAGCGGACAGCACGCGGGACTTGTGATCCTGTGGTCCTAGGTTCGATCCCAGGCGCCGGCGAGAAACAATGGGCAGAGTTTCTTTCACCCTATACCCCTGTTACCTAGCAGTAAAATAGGTACCTGGGTGTTAGTCAGCTGTCACGGGCTGCTTCCTTGGGGGTGTAGGCCTGGTCGAGGACCGGGCCGCAGGGACACTAAAAAAGCCCCGAAATTATCTCAAGATAACCACTTGGCATTAAACCCAGACAATAATAATTTAATCATCTATGATAACCACATTACCTGGTGAATCAATGTATGATGATAACTGCATTACCCAGTGAATCAGTGTATGATAACTGCATTACCCAGTGAATCAGTGTATAATAATAACCATGTTACCCCAGTGAATCAATGTATGAGTATAACCACACTTTAAGGGCTTATCAACTCAAAATGCAATACATTGGTTCAGAAATTTTTGTTGTTGTTCAAAAATTCTATTTAATGTCTGCGAATGCTATTTAAACACTTCTCTTTAACAAGTTCCCAGTAAACTTTCAAAAATATATTACAAGTACCATCTACATGTTGAAATACAGTAATATATTTTTATGTTATTTATTCTTGCTAAATTCTCACAATTAAATGTTTTCCTCCTCTTCCAGGTTAACAAAATTGTTCCTGTGTGAGTTTTGTCTCAAATATATGAAGAGCATCTCCATGTTGGGTCGACACTTGGAGAAATGTGTCTGGCGAACCCCACCTGGCACTGAGATTTATCGCAAAGATGGTCTCTCTGTCTTTGAGGTAAGTTGGCCTTCTTTTTTTTTTCAAAGTGAATATTATATGTAGTCTTTTGATTGTATCTATCTCAATAAATAAAATAACACTAGTTTTGATACAAGGGATTCTCATCTATCTGACCTCTTCTTTGTGATATAATGGATTCTCACGAATCAGGCCTCTTTGACTGGTGCGAGACTGAGAACCAAACGTCCTATTGGCTTCTAGTAGTAAATGGTCATGTGTGTAGTTCACTGTTGTGTTCTTCCATACAGTGATCTCTGACCTGACATTTTTCCTTCTATATAATTACAATTCTGTGTTGACCAGACCACACACTAGAAGGTGAACGGACGACGACGTTTTGGTCCGTCCTGGATCATTCTCAAGTCGATTGTGAGAATAGTCACAATCGACTAGAGAATGGTCACAATCAACTTGAGAATGGTCCAGGACGGACCGAAATGTCGTCGTCCCTTCACCTTCTAGTGTGTGGTCTGGTCAACATACTTTAGCCACGATATTGTAACTCATCGCCTGCTTACAATTTTGTGATTTGAACATCAATACACTAAAAACAATAATTTCATTATGATTCAGTCTCTTTCTCCTGGTTAGATTTAAAGTTGCTTCCTCCCTTCAGTGGGGTTGCCTTTCCTTTGGGTATGTGCATTGTCTGGATCTAACCAATGCCTGGCAGCTATCTTCTGAAACAGAGACTCCATTGTGGGCTTGTGTTTTTAACTTTCAGTATTCAAGGTCTCCATTCTTTGTTTATGCATAGGCTTCCCATGATGCTCCCTTTTCTTGTTAGAGAATTTAACTCGGGTGCTTCAATCAGATTGGGAGGCAAGACGTCAAGTTTGGAAGGCTCTGCTTGAGCCCCACTTTTGAGGGCTTCTCTCCTGTTCTGAAGGGTGTGAATGAGTATCAAATGGTACTCTATTTGAACAGTATAAGCATTGTGATGAGGTCCTTATGCTGGAAGGCTCTTGTAATCCATCGTATCATTTTTCTAGTGCTGTATTTGCTTGGTTATGCTCCCTAAAAGTTAGGTAGTCAGACATCATTATTCCCAGAGCCTTTAAATGTTGCATTCCTACTATGGAGAGATTTGATTGTCGCTGCCCTTTAGTGTTGGTGCTAGCATTTTCTTCATGTATAGGTCCTTCTCTTTCTAATTCATGGCCGTATACTTGCTCTTATGTACCATTCTGTTAGCCTCTTCCCACTCCCAAACTTCATTAATTTACACTTGTTGAGAGATCTATTTGAGTACATTACATACATAAGAAACAGCAATGGTCCTAGAGTGGAGCCCTGTGTGACTCTGCTTAACATTTTGCTCCACCATAACATTTTTCCCTTTAACTGTGTTCCCTGTCTGTTATGGGGAGGACAGTGTCAGAGAATTTCTGACACATAAGGAAGTACAATTCACAGAGTTCCCATTTTCCTGCCTTATCTTGTCAACTCTGTTGTAGAACTTTACCAGATTCATCAGGCAAATTTATTGCCCTCAAAATTTGTGCTGTCTATCAGTTATGATGTTTGTACATTTCAATGTTTTGCAACCCTATTTCCAATTATTTTCCCAGTACTTTGCAGATGGTCATCAGTGACACTGGTCCATAATTTACTGCCTCCTTTCCGTATCTTCTTAAATATGGGCACTACATTTGCACTTTTCCACATGACTGGGATATTGCCAATCACAGTGTTGTAAACTCTTGTTAATGAGTTACATAGTACTGCAGCTGCTTCTTACAGTAGCAGTGGTCACAGCTGATCTTGCCCTACAGCCTTGCTGATGGACACTTTAATCCGTTGATTAATTACCTCTGCATTGTATTTAGTAGAGTGTACTAGCATATCACTCGGTGTCAGCTCTGCTCATCTGCTGTTGTCCGTGCCAGGACTACTTTGGTTGGGTCTTGAACACTTCCTGGAACTTTTTGTTTAAATTCTCTCACATTTCCTTGTACACCTGTCTGTATATTTACATACATTGTAAATTAAACAGGTACCATATTGTACTTGTCCAATTAGGTATGTAAATGAGACAAAATATATTTAACATAAGAATGATTTTACTGTAATTCTGAGAGTGAACAGTGGTAACACATCAAATCATCCATGTGCAGTAAATGTATAGTTTTCTTGCAGGTTTCAGATGTTTACATAATTGTTTTGTCATTTACAGGTGGATGGTAATGTTAGTAAGATATATTGTCAGAACTTGTGCCTATTAGCTAAACTGTTCCTGGACCACAAAACTTTATACTATGATGTGGAGCCCTTTCTTTTCTACGTCCTGACCCGCAATGATGAGAAGGGCTGTCATTTGGTGGGTTACTTTAGCAAGGAAAAACTATCTGCACTCAAATACAATGTTTCGTGTATCATGACCATGCCACAGTACCAGAGGCAAGGCTATGGACGTTTCCTCATTGATTTCAGTAAGTATTATTGTATGACCAAGTTAATGATATCTTTGAATATATAGTAATGCAAATTTCTTATCTGTAGTACCTTTCAGTTTCTATATTAAAAATTCAGCCGTATTGATATACTGTATTTGAAGCTGTATATTGTAGAAAGACCAGGATTCTCTGTGATAGCATAATATCAAAGATATTACTTGAATAACGAAATTTGTTTTAATATTTTAGGTTACTTATTATCCAAACGAGAAGGGCAACCTGGGACACCAGAGAAGCCCCTCTCCGATTTGGGTCGTGTATCATACACTGCATATTGGAAGTCTGTTATATTGGAGTACCTTTATCACGTGAAGGACCACAGTTCCTTTAGTATTCAGGATGTGGTGAAGGAGAAAGCCATGTATCCCGCTGATGTCGCCTACACGCTTAATATCTTGGGATTCTTTAAGAGAGACATCAGTGACCAGTAAGTGGTTATGGAGTTAAATTAGCAATGCATATATTTTTCATACACATGGTTTGATGGTATCTTTTATGTAGTCTGTTATAGTCATAGATGATTTGAATAAAAATACTGTACAGTTGAGTAATGAAAATCTGAAAAATTAAATTAAAAAGTGATTAAAAAGTGATATACCTATGGTATATAGTTTTTGCACAAAATTGAAGTAATTATTATACAAGTTGTTTTTTTTTTTTTTGAGCTTATGTCATTGTTTTTTCTGGAGGGGCCAAATAGTGGCTCCCTGACAGTAGCACTGAGATAGCTTACTTTATAAAGTTTCCTTGGTGTGTGTGATGTAACAATCCCCAGCTTTCTGCTCCTCTGTGAGGGGGTGCCAGTTTCTTCTGGCTCTAGTCTCTGGTAGGCTATTCAAGACCATCCCCTAGGGTTGATGTGACTCGTGTAATTGCCTAAGTGTTGATGTAGGACGAGAGCTATGCTCGTGGTGTCTTGTCTTCCCAGTACAGTACTCTTTGCCGTTTGTGGCACTATCTCAGCGCTTGCTTCAGGGAGCCACCGAGGCCCAACCAGAAAAGATATTTCATTACAGTCGACACTTTTTTTTATTTTGTAAATATATGCTTTCATTATTCTACCTTGCATTCCCTGCTTTATAGCTGCTTACAGAAAAATTCTTCTCACTGCAGACAAAAATATTCTTTTCCCTCTGGGATGACTTACCCCAACCCCATGGGAGTGGAAAGTGGGCTAATGAAAATGAACAATCATTCTATCTCCCATGTATCTATCTGCCTTCATAAATACAAAAATTCTTTTTAATTCATGTTGTCTGGGGGAAGGGGGTGCCCTGACAGCTTCCTGAAGCTATCCAAACTGATATGTGCTATATTAGTTTGGGGTCATCAGTCACTGGAGTCCTAATGCCTACCGGGGACTACGAGCCAGAACCTGGTTCCCTCAGAGAGGTGCAAAGCCTATGAGCACTTTAGATTTAAAGTATGTCATAATTGCCATCGACCAAGGAAGGGCCCAGAAAGGTAGGCGAATCAAAACAGACCACTGTCTGGTTAACCTGTGCAAACTACATCCCAAAGGATCAAAATAACTCGCCTAGAAAGAAACCAAACAAGTAACCCTTCGTGCAATTAGCATTCTCGCTCGTTAGCGCAATATCCCAGGCTTGGGCTGTCCTCCTATACAAACTTCCCCTCCCATAGACCTATGGAAGTCGTTGCCATGCTGTTTTACCTGCTGGAAAGGGTTGGGCTTCGGAGGCGGTTCTGGTATCTTTGGGGCAGCCCCTTTCGGCGTTCTCGCGACCGCTGGGTTCTCTCCCCAGTGTCTTTTCGTTGGTTGCCGAGTCACCGGCATCCTCTTTGGGTTTTTGAGGTTCGGATGCATTGTTCAGACACAGCTTTCTTGCGCTCGGTGTGTTCATGGATGCCCCATTTCTTGACAGGGGCTTTGTTACCAGCACTCACCAGGCCAGCCAGGATCGTTAGGCTCCATCCTCCCGTTGGGCTCGCAGCTCAGTGCAAGAGGTTGCAGCTGTGTGGCTGGCATTGCAGTGAATTCGGCTTACTCGGGGCTCTCTGATCCGGCTCCATTCGAATTGCACCCCTGTGGTTCATTGTCTCAACTGTGGGGGCTCTGCGGTCCGTGGCTCTTTGGGGCTGGTCACTTCAGGTAGCTCTTCTGCTGAGTTCTCAGGGTTTAGCTCTCCGCGCTGTTCATATTCGGGAAGTGTCCAACGTCCTGGCAGACAGCCTGTCGTGCTTCATTCCCCTTTCCATGGAGTGGATAATCGATGCTCCCTTCTTCCTTTGGCTTTGTCGGACGTATGAGGGCCCAGAGGCGGACTTCTTCACATCGGATTGATCTCGTCCTCTCCCTACATCCGTGGTGCCATTCCCCAACTGCAAGGCCTTTGCGGTAGAAGCTGGCAGGACTGGTCGAGGTTGGGGGTTTCTGTTCCTTATTTCCCGGTCCAGCTGTTGTTTCAGGTTCTGGTTCGGCTCAGATCTTATCAGGGGAGGGTGTTTCTCCTGGCCCCATGGTGGCCGGCCCAACCTTGGTTTCAGGTGCTGCTCGATATTCAAACACGATGGCAGACATGACATACAGTACTCTAAATGTAGTGCTTATAATGGCCATTGTTCCCTGTGCCTCTTTGAGGAGACCAGGTTCTGGCTCGTGGTCTCAGGTAGGCATGGAGAACTTGCATGACTGATGACACCAAACTAATATGGCACATGTCAGTTTGGATAACTTCAGGGAGTCTCCAGGACTTGCCCAGAAAATGACATTTCATTACATTTTTTATACCACTTCCTTAAGAGAATTCACATTTGATCACAGCATCCTTGCACTTCTAAAATACCAACCTTGCATCTCATATAAGAACCCCTTCAGTTTAACCAATCAAAACATAATTGCTGAAATAAGTCTTTAAGGTGAGGGAAAATTAACAGCATAAATATGTCAACAGTAAATGTCCACAATAAATTTAAAGTTATATTACTAATATTAATGTGCTTATTTAGGATGGTGGTTAGCATAGACTGGACATCAGTGGATGAACACTATCAGAAACAGCTCAACAATCCTCGACGGTTGAGATTAGACCCAGAGGCTCTTCGTTGGTCACCGCTACTGGCTGGCCATAACAGTTCTCTCCATCAAGACTCTGATGAGGTAATTTGACACTTTATCTATTACCTTTGTGCCTATCAGTGCCTATAGGTCATAAAATCAAACTCTTTGGGCCCCTGCCTCCTAGCTATTTATGTCTACTGCATTTTGAATATATTGATGTAAAAGTTCTTTGTTATATTTGGTCGCTAGTTGTGGATGGACATGGCTTCCACACCTACTTCAGTCAATGCATGCCCCCTTGTTGACCACCAACACAGATTACGAGTATTTCCTTTTCGTTTTTCTCGTCTGCATTTCCATCTTCCACGATGCCCTCTTGTAGTATTTGTGTAAGAACAAATAAAGTGATAGGTTTATACTGATACAGGTGTATACCTGTCAATGATTCTGAGGATCAATGTTCTCCTGGTCCAGTTTCTGATCAGGCCTCCTGGTTGGTGATCAGCTCAACCAATAAAATTTGCATCTGAAATAAATGTGAATGGTGAATAGTTAGACCCAGTTACTCAGTAGAAATACCAGGGATGCGCAAAGTTGAGCGTATGAGAAGACAGGGAAGAAAAGTGGATGGTGCCGAGAACCATCCAGAAAAAAACAGCCAGTGGGTAATTTTTAGAAAGGTAGCACTGACTTTTATGTATGGCTGCAACATGATGAAAGATGAATGGGAAAAATCAAGAATTGCAGCTGTAGAAATGGATAATCTATCAAGTATGAAATTGTTAGAAGAATAGATACAATTAGGAATTAAAATATCAGAGATGTGGAGTGCAATATTTGATTACTGCAAAATTTTGTAACATTTACTAAGATGTTATTGTCATGTTAAATGAATGGGTGATGGCCGACCCATGAAGTGTGTTGTGTACGAGTAAATTTGAGAGGAATAAGTGACGATGGGTAGAAAGAAGATGGGTAGACGTGGTAAGTGAGGCATAAGTGTGAATGGCATAATGGATGGGATAATGGACATGTCTGGCTGTAAGCAGTTAATAAAGAGAAAGTGAATATACTAGTTTGTTTGGTATATGATGATTCACAAGTTCTGTTCACCTAGTTAAGAGAAGCAGTCGGGTGTTTCTGTTGATAATTGCTAGTGTGAGTTAATGTTTGTTTATCTGTGTCGATGTACAGTATTTTGTAAGAGATGTAAGCGTTTCAACTTGTACCCATATTTATTTGTTGACACTTTCAGGAGGAAGAAACACCAAAGGATAGAGATATGAAGGTGGAGGAAAGTCAAGTTTTAGAGAACAGTAAGGTAGAAGAGGTGAAGGTGGAGCCTGTGAAAATATCAGAGAATGTGACCCCAGAAGACACCAAGGAAGAGGAGGAGCTTAAGGAAGAGAAGGCAGTGGTACTTTCAGCTCCTATTGTACCGCCTGCGTCCTCTACAGTAAAAATCAGTCGCCCGCCTAAATTAAAAGGCAGCTCAGAAAACCCTGTGTCAGTAGTAAGTATCTATGGGGAATTGTCTCGGGTGCTTTGTGCTCACCATATAGTGTACATGTAAGTTAAATTTACATTGATAGTACTATAGTGTGCTGTAGCTATAGCTTCACACAAGTCAGTTGCAGAACAAGTAATAAAAATGCTCTTGGACTAGGTATCTTGGTGGTAAAATAAGTGGGGCTTTTGGTTTTCATATAGAGACCATTGCCATGAATTTGTAATTTTCCTGAACTCCTGTCACACACAGGCCTGTTTCTAAATTGCAAAGGATATCTTGTGTGGACTAGACTTGTTTGCTTTGTATCTTCTTTGATCTCGCATATGAGGTTAATTAATGCTTCATGTGTGCGCATTCCTTAGATATACTGAGTGTTGGCCCATACCCCATGGGGTGTGGACAAACATACATTTCTTTGGCTTACCAATCCACCAACCACATCCATGTGCTCACCTTATCCACCATTCCTGTCTGCCCACACCCATCTACCCACTTCATTCATATGAAGTGGGTAGATGGGTGTGGGCCATCCACCACACCCTTCTGTCCACCCAACAAAGTTGCCCACCCCACCCTCTCCACTGCTCCTGTCTGCCTTCCACACACTCATACAATTATCTTCTCCCTCTCTATGCTTGTCCATATTTTAATATTCAGTATACATACCAAAGGGGGAAAAGAGGGGGGCATTAATTTTTTAGGCATACAGCACAGTATTTATAATATCTATTATACTGTATTGCAAGATAATCTCTGCATAAGGACCAGGAATAACCCCATGATAGACTGCAGTCAAAAGATATCTACTGTCTAAGCTCTCTTACCTGGACTATATGGGAAGGACTCCTCACCGGATAAGCAGAATTCTTTAGGGGGGGAGGGGTCCAAAAATGACTATATTTTTCAATTTTTTGTACCACTACCAACATAATTTGGATTTCCACACACACTGTATATAAAAAATATAGTTTAAAAGATAAATTTGAGCTCATCTTCAGCCCAGTATCGTCTTGTTTGATACTGTAGATCTTATGTGTAACTCTTGAAAATTTATGTAACCTAACCACTGATTATCTATATTTCTGTCCGGATATGGAAAAGTTTGGCAGAAAATTATTCTGATGCAAATTTGGCTGGATAACCCAAATACTGTATTCAGTTTAGCAAAATTCGGATGAGCAGGCTTATACAGTAGTTGCATTTAGTTTTCCTGTTAATGTTTTCTCATTTTATTTTATTTAATTTTGCAGGTTGAAGCCAAAGAAAGGGAGAAGGAGAACATTAACAGCAGTATTAACGATGCTAAACAAAATACCATCTCTTCTCCGAGCAACATTGACGAGATGAAAGTGCCTGTATCTCCTAAGGAAGATGCTTATGTGTTTAAGGAAGAAGAGGAAAATGAATTTGATAGTAACTTTCGAAGCCTTAAAAGTGGGAGAAGAAAATCCCAGACGTTAAAAGAGACCCAGTGTTCATCAGAAAGACGACGAGCAAAGCGGGCAGGACACGCGCAAAATGAAGAGAAAATAGTAGCTGAAGAGAAACAGCTAGTTGTAGAGAAACAGTCGAAGGTTGATGAACAGAGAACAGCAGCAGAAGACAAGACCATAACTGTGGATGAGACTCGGACTACAGTAGACGAGAAGAGAACAACTTTGGAGGAAAATCTATCCTCGGTAGAGAAAACAGCAGCAGAAAGCAAGAAGATAGTTGTAGATGGAAAGTGTACTAAAGAGGAGAAACGTTCCAAAGAAGAGAAGCGTACATTGGTAGAAGAAAAACGGTCCAGAGAAGAGAAACGTACATCAGTAGAGGAGAGACGTTCTAAAGAAGAGAAGCGTACATCAGCAGAGGAGAAGCGTACCGCAGTAGAGGAGAAACGTTTGAAAGAAGAGAAGCGTATATCTGTAGAGGAGAAATGTTCCAAAGAAGAGAAGCGCACAATAGATGAGAAACGTTCTAAAGAAGAGAAGCGTACATCAGCAGAGGAGAAACGTTGTAAGGAAGAGAAACGACCAACAGTGGAGTTGAAACGTTCCAAAGAGGAGAAGTGTACAACAGTAGAGGAGAAAAAGGTAGCACTTGACGAGAAGAAACTTGCAGATGACAGTAAAAAGTTGAGAGAATTGGAGCCATTGATCACAGAAGAGGAACAAGTGACAGAGAAAGGTAAGAAACTCTTAGTTATACATTGCATAACAAAGGTGACATTGTTAGCCATGTTTTGTTTTACAGAATGTTTTTCCTTTATGTTTTTCCTTTTCCTTTTCCATTAAAGTTATTAACAACTTTTTTTTTAATTAATATAAAATTAACTCCTGGTTATAAGTGAGGTAAAAATTGAGATCAAATAATTTGTGATCAGTGTTTTAATAATGTTTGCACAGTGACTTAATTTGATGGCAATGAGTCTTGCTCAGTAGACATACCATAAATGTTACTCAGTGAATAGATATCTAAACATTTCTCTCTCAAATATGGCTTTAATCTCAAGTAAATAGTTCATATATAATATTAACCTGAAGAAACAATTCAGGGGATTGGAAATTTGTTGAGGCTATTTTAAAATATCTTATTATATAGATTCAAGTAATCAGTCGTTTGCCAGCTCCAGGTGTCGACCACTCCTGGCAAAATAACATTTTATTTTAAACATTAAAACCTTAACCTCTAAACATTATTCTTTCTGGTCATTATTATTCAACCTTAGTAATTTATGACATATGATGATTCCTCTTATATTTTGACCATTATTTTTTGAATGCATTAGGTTCTGTTAGTCAGGAAATTGTAGATCCATCTGCCTATTTTTCTGGTAATTCCTTTTGCATGCATTTTGTGTGCAATAACGCCATGGTCACATTTGTCGAAGGTTTTTGCAAAATCTGTGTAAATTACACCAGCGTTTTGCTTATCTTCCATGACATTTAAGGCCATGTCATAGTGGTCCAGCAACTTCCAGCAACATAATGGTTCATAGTAGTCTGGCAACGTCGTAGTTTCGTTGTGTGCTTGACGGGTGATCTCTTGGAGTAAATATCTCGATATGATTTGAATCTACAGACAAGTTAGTGTCATCCATAGTTATAATTCTCTTTCAATTCAAAGTTTTCCAAAACAATATTGGAAATATGTTTTATTTCACCGATAAACAAAGAAACATATTATGTTGTGGCTAGCAACCTTATACTTTCTGGAATTTATTTTGATTTAAAAAATAAAGCTTAATAGGTGTCCTGCAAATGTTATAAGAATGAATATGTACATCATATCTTCTTAAATATTTGTTAAAAATGGTTAAAAAATTACCTTACAGACAGTCTTGATCACAACATTTTTGTTTGGGAGTGAGAATGCCATTAGGCTTGTTTTCGAAAGATTCTATGAATTTTGTTTTTATTCTGACAAGTTTTAATTTTCTGATGTCTTGCAACTTGTTATTCTGACAATAAATATCCAACGAGATCACCTTTAATAGTCTGTATAAACAATCTACCTTACTTATTTTTATGTAAGGTTTCTGGAAAAGATCCCCCACATAAAACTAGAAATAAACTATATAATACACTTGTGACAATGTGACAATACACTTGTATATATATGAACATTATGTAAAAAGCTATGTCAATATAATGATATATATTTTAAAACTCTGTGTCTTTTTATAATGAATACCATGTAAGAATTTATAGCAAGGCTTTTCTCTATCAGGATCATTTTGTTTCGGCCTCAACTTCATAATTTAGACTTGGTGAAATAATTTTTCTTCTTATTTTGTTTCAAATACTTTATCTAATGACTTAACTAATTATATCATCCCTCTGTCAGAGTTGGCTAATGATCTGATGAACAACAAAAGAACTAGCCCAGTGGAAGCCATTCCATCCCTAAGAAATTCTAGGAGAGTAACATCAAGCTCGTGGGTGAACTATGTAGAGTGTAATAATGACACCCGTGTTGTTGCTAAGGAAGAGCGCAGCTCAGTTTCATTACCAAAGAGTAGGAGGGAAACTTCCTCAACACGAAGTAGAAGAAAAGCAGAAACTGAGGAGAAAGAGGAAGAGAACCGAAGGGAAAGCTTGACAAGAAGTAGAAGAAGAATAGATCCTGAAGAAAATGAGGAGAGTCATAAGGAACATTTTTCAAGAAGTAGAAAAAGATCAGAACCTGGAGAATGCGAAGATGAAAATCGAAGAGATTCATCAGTTAAGAAAAGAAAAGCAGATGTTGAAGAGGGCGAAGAAGATTGTCACAAGGAAACGCCACCTAGAATAAGAAGAACAGAAGTTAACGAATGCGAAAAGGAGACTCGTAGGGAACCCTCTGCTAGAAGGAGAAGAAAAGTAGAAGCTGAAGAAAGTGAAGAAGAAAACAAGGAACCCTCAACCAGAAGAAGTAGAAGAAAAGCAGAAGCTGAAGAAAAAGAGGAAGAAAACAGAAGAAAAATTGAATTACATGAAGCAGAAGAAAAGTCTACAACAAACTCGAGGGAATCATCACGAACAAGAAGAAAACAAGATCCAGGTGGAGGGGATCAACGAAAAGAACCTCAAGAGTTGCACACAGAGGAATCGGAAAGGTCTCACAGGCTCAGAAACAAAGGTCAAATTAATTCTAGTAGGAACAGTAGCAGTAGCAGGGAGGTCAGGAGAAGGAAACACTCTGAGATTGAAGATGAGGAAGAGAGAACACCAGAGATAAACAATAGATGTAGAAGTGCGAGACTAAAGTTACAAGAGGCAGAAGATTGTCTCAGTTCTCGGAGTAAGAGGCTCAAGAAGAACGAGGAAGGGGACAGAATAACCAGAAGAAGAGAAGAATTAGATAAGGAAGCAAGACATGACGAGGTACAAGAAGACACCACGAGGATTAGGAAATCAAAGCGTATTGAAGAACAGCCCGAGCCGTTTAATCTGAGACCCAAGAAACCCCGACCTAGTCGACACTTAGAGGGAGCTGCAGCAGGACTCAGGACCAATGTGTCGAGTGGATCCACCATTGAACACGAGCAGGAGGAAGAGAAAGATCAAGAGGAAGAAGTGGATAAAGAGGAGGAAGATGGGTAAGTAGAACATTTTAGTTTCAAACTTGTATTAATTTATTATATAGAATTTTTTAATTTGTTATTAATAAATCATCCACAGATGCTGCATTGAAAGTGAGGTCCATGTTTAGACTGACTTGCCAGAATAATCAGTCAGTTTTATTTACTGTAAAAACAGTGTGGTTTAATCAGAATTTCCAAAAATAATATTCACATACATACACACACTAGTTCACAAACTCACTCACATACAGGGGAATAGGTAGATACCTGGTAATGGAAATTTAAGTGAATGAAATGACATTCACAGAGTCCAAGTAATATACAGTTCAACATTGATTATTATCTGGACCATTTGTTACCCCAGGATCTCCTTGGGGTAACTGAAAATCATAATCTCATCAAAGATTGAGATGTAACTTTTTGGCAAATTGTTTCATTTTGATATTTATTTAAAACACATGTGGTAAAAAGACCTGTTATGATGTTTTAATAGGAATGTACCAATGTTTATGTGGGAAACTAAATTTTTGGTATAAATAAGTGTCCGCTGCTGGTAAATTGCTGAGCCTTCACAGATAATGGAGGGGGGTGGGGTGTTTAACCCCATTTATGGGACATGCTGCAATTAATGGGTGTGTTGAACCACAAATTTCTACGGGCAGATGCTGTGAGAATCCAGTAAAATGAACATCATGATAAAGGGGGGTTCTACTGGCATTAAGCACTAGAAAGCAAGTAAACTATTGTGTAATGGAACTTCAGGAAACATATAGACAAAATTTTAATGAAAATAATGTTGGTTTTAAATGCAAGGCAGGTAGGACCAAGATGAGTATGATTAAGTATGGCACATTGTGCTTACAGAGCTGTGCAACTGCAGTTGTTGCCAAGAAACACTGTAGCACTGCCAAGAAACACTGTAGCACTCACAAATAGGTGACTCTCCAGTCACCTATTTGTGCAACAAATAGGTGACTGGAGAACAGGGTTATTGGAGACAGACTAATGGAACAGCTGAATCATTTAATAGAAAATGACAAATTCACCTAGAATATTGAAAAGATCAGATTTTAGAAAAGTACTAAGCAGTGTACTGGAGGTGATGAATGAGTAGCCAATAGTAATAAGTGATATATGAAAGTTTTTAAACCATTAACAGGGAAAATTATGGTCTTGGAAACAAGAATTACACAAATAAGGAATTGATGAGAATGCAGTAGTGAATAAATGGGAATGAGTAAAAACAGGGAATAGAAGAAAACAGTTTAATCTAAAAGCTAAGTCCCATTGGTGGGAGACTAGTAGTAGGCATCCATCAGTCTATGGAGTTGTGCTCTGGTTGTCAGTCTGGAGGGGCCTCTCCATGGTGCAAAGCCAGGGTGGGTTGATACGGGGGAGAAGCTGTCACCCATGCAGCAGTCCCCACTCTCCACGGCGCCGAAAGTCTCCAATGGAAAGGCAAACGCCAATACGATTGGTTCCAGCACCATTGCAGGAACTGTCAGAACGAGGTTGAAGGCAACAACGAACTGCCCTAGGGACTCCAACTCCGGAGACTGATGAGACTAAGAGTTTAAAATATTTAATGAACTTCAATAGGCAAAATGCTGAAGTCAGATAGGTGATCAGGAAAGTTACTCTCAAATGGCAAGATCCAAATGTACTATGGACCATACAGTCAACCAGTCGCTCGTGGTACGTTACTGTCTAACATGTGGCGAAGTCTGTGTAGAGCATCATTTTGTCAAACTAACAAGGAATGTCAAAAATTGCATCAGAAAAAACTAAATAAAATTATAAAGTACATATAGCAGGGCAGGCAAAAACAGATACTAGTTTTTTCTTCAGATATGTTAAAGAGAGAAAAGACTGGGCTTTTGAAAATTGAGACAGGTCAGGCAACTGATAATGACAAAGAAATGAATAGTTTGGCATTTTAAACATGCACTGTCCCTGTATATACTAGAAAAGAACTTGATATTATACCTATAGCTGAATAAATCCGTGTAGGTGGTAAGTTGGACAAGTTGACCAGTGGTTACCAGGGAGGAAGTTATTAACCATTCAGCTGTGCATGTCAAACAGGGATGATCAGAACATATCTGACCACACTGCGCGAGTCAAACAGGGATGATTTAAAGTACCGCCTTAGACTTAAAATCCAATCATCCCCCCCCCCCCCATATACACAAGACTCGCATTTACTTCCTCAGGTGTCTAATAAACAGATGCCATCTTGGAAAAAATTGTAGACACTCTTGAGGGTGTGAGGGGTCTCATTATTGAGAGGGTGACTGTGGGTAGCTCATAATGTAGGAGGTCACCGCACTGCTGTATTGCTTGTGTTATAACATCACTTAATTATGAAGGAAAAAACAAATGGCAGTTATTTTCCAATGATAGTGTCACAGATGATCCTGATTGGTATAAAGACTATGTACAAGGTTCAGATAAAGTATCAGTAAACACTACTCTGTTTATGTTGTTCACAGCACAAGGCAGACATTCACAGCACACAACATGGTTTTGTGCAGCTACACCTCATGAAATGTGACCATGTTTATTTAGAAAATAAGCTTCTGGAAAATTATTCATATTCATGATTTAGTGACCCCAAATATAATAATAATAATAATAGCAGTTACCAGATTCACACTAAATAGTAGTGTGTATGGCTAGAGTTAGTGATGTGCATAGTGTACCGTTAGAAATTTTGCTACAGCAGGTTGCATCATCTGCCAGTAGTGTGTGAGGTACCATTTTGTGCTTGAATTTCATTACCAACCCACCAGAACGCCTTATTGGTTCGTTATAGTGCATACAAATGTAGATGCAGTAATTACCAGTGTATATATGACGTGTATATAGTGTAATAACCACAAAAAAATGGTATGTTTTAGTGTTCTCTGCAAATAATATAGTGTGCATCTTAGTGACATGAATATATCTGTGCATACCTATGATTTACAGCATACACATGTTCTGTGATACATGCAACATTATTGACAGCCCATTGCATCTTTGCACTTGCAAATATCATGGTAAAACATTAGAAATATGAAGAAAATATTGTACTAGTACAGTATATTCAATGAGTGAAGTTAATTTCATGCAGAACATGCAGAACTAAGCTGAACATTTTATAACACGTTATGAAGCTATCACACTCACCAGGTTTGTGTAGTGGTTTGTAATCGTGCATAAAAATGTATACTGTATAATGATATATATAGTGTCTATACAGGGTAATACCAGCAAAAATAGTATGATTTATTGTTCTAAACATATAGTGCACATCTTAGTGATACGAATACAGTATATCTATGCATACTTATGATCTTCATGTTCTGTGATACAAATAACACTATTGATAGCCCATTGCATAATTGCACTTGAAAATACCATGGTAAAACATTACAAATGCGAACAAACTATTTTATATTTAATGCGTAAAGTTACAATTTCGCAAAAAATATGCAGAGCTAAGGCTGATCTCTTGATACTGTAATATGTTATGAGATTATCACACTCACCAGAACTGCATAGTGATTTGTAATCATGCATGAAAATGTGAATAATCATGTATAAAGTGTGCATACAGAGTAATACAGCAAAAATAGTATGTTTTATTGTTCTAAGCAAATAATATAGTGCGCATCTTATATTTAGACACGAATATATTTGAGCATTTTAAAGTTCCACACATTTTATTATTTATATCTTTCAAAAGACACTATTGACTAATATTACTGCAGATGTTATTTGCAAACATTATTTTCTATTCTGAAATGCTCATAGCAAACATGAGACCTGTATTGGAATATGCATCAGTTAAATATTGTTAATACTCCATTCCTTGAAAAAATACATAGTACACAAAATAAATTTCTTACATATTTTCCAGGAATATAACTGTTATATCACATTTTACAAAAGATCCACTGTACTAGTATACAGTAGCAAGTTAATGCATATAGACCTATTGATTTGATTTGATTACTGATTCGTAGACACTAAGATAGGTCTTAATAATTTTTCCCAACATTGCCTCTCCTAGCTGTAATAAAATCGTTTTTGTGAAGACTGGGTGTAGTATCGTGACAGTCATTAAACTTTAATGCCACTTTGCTGTCCACTTAATCCTCTTGTAATTTTAGATTAGTCATTAACTATTTCTGGTCAGATCATTCCATTACTTACAACCTTGTAGTTTCTTTGTGGTGGTTTGGGGTATCAACGTGCCCATGGCCCAGTCTCTGACCAGGCTTCCTTAAATGTGATCTGGTTAACCAGGCTATTAGATGCAGCTGGTTGCTGAATGTTGTTCTTTCATTATAAATCCTTGCGTTACACTGAAAATTTCTCATGACCTGTCCACCATGTGTAGTTCTTAAAATTAACAGAAATATATATGTACTGTACAAGGATTTTCTTTGGAAGTGATAGATTAAAATATACAAAGAAACTCTTTCGGGGCCAGGTTTTGGCCTCTTGTCCCCCCGTAGTTGTCTTTTAATGAATCATAAGTGCTTAATAGTGTGGCGCTATCTCCGTGCGGTTAAGAAAAAGGTTCCAATGTTTGGCCCTCCAGAAACACTCACATTAGAATTTAGAAGGTTGTCCTTAGTTAAGGGATATCTGTTGGTCATTCTGCACTTAATTGAATGTTGCCAGTGACTCCTTAGCACCTGTGATGTCCCTGCAGGCACCATTTGAAAAATTGTGTGCCAATGTATTGTCCCAACTGAAAATGTATTCCTGCCCAATAGGCACTGGATATTACTTTTAAGGCTGTGATGAGAAGGCAATTTTCATGCAACTCAAAGCCTTCAAGGATTTCAATTAGATATAGGTACAAATTATTAAATTCCTTTTAAAATAATTATGGATAGTTAAGAAGGAATCAATTTTTAGAAAAATAGTTAGATATGAATAGAAAGTCTTTTAAGTCTGTCATGTTGACTGGAGGTAAGATACTAGCAGAATGTTGATACAGTATACATTATTTAGTTAGC